CCCCCGCTCCTCCACCGCCGTACCGGGGATCTGAACGTAGAGCGAAGCGAAGGCGGCGAGGTAGGCAGCGGCCAGCCCGGCCAGGAACAACGACCGCGGCCGCCGCGGCGGTTCCCCCATGGCGGGCCGCTGAGCGACCTCAGCGCGCACGCTTACGTCAGCACGCACAGGCGTCAGCGCGCAGCAGCCCCGCGCGCCTCACGTCGGGCGGGAAACACAAAATGGCGACGCGGAGGGGGATCGCTGCCGCTGCCGCTGCCGGCGGGGTCTGGTGAGGGGTGGGATTGGGGGTCGGTCCCGCCGGGACCCTGCACCCGCCCAGGGAGCCCGCGGCTGCGGGCAGCGTCCACCTGGTGGCGGGCGGGTTTGGTGCTGGTGTTTTGTCTCGGAGTGGCTCGGCTGTCCCGGCGGTTTTTGTGTGCGGCTTGACCTCCGGCTGCTCTGGTGAGGTGAAAGACGGCGTTGGTTTTCTGGTTCTGGGTTCTCGAGTGCTCATCTGGTGGTATTCTGCTTTTTTTTTTTTTGTGAGGCTGAGGGGAGACCTCGTCGCTCTCCACAGCTACCTGACAGGAGGTTGTAGCGAGGTGGGGGTCAGTCTCGTCTCCCAAGTAACAAGCGATAAGACAAGAGGAAACGGTCTCAAGTTGTGTCAGGGGAGGTGTAGATTGGATATTGGGAAAAATGTCTTCACCGAAAGGGTTGTCAAGCCCTGGCGCAGGCTGCCCAGGGAAGTGGTGGAGTCACTATCCCTGGAGGTGTTTAACAGATGTGTAGACATGGCGCTTAGGGACGTGGTTTAGTGGTGGACTTGGCAGTGCTGGGTTAATGGTTGGACTCGATGAGCTTAAGGGTTTTTTCCAACCTAAATGATTCTGTGTTTACTGAAAATTTATATTTCTGTTGGAATCCAGTTGACTTCAGGTTTCTACACTACTTGACTACCATAAGGCATCAACTGCACCCAACTCTAAGTGACCTGCGACCCTCAAATGTCACCCATGGGATCATCTGTTGAGAAACAGGTGGTTTAAGCCTGTTTAAAGACCCTACAGGTCTCCCCAGCGGCTGAGCAGGCTGTGAGCTCCTCTGCTGGGAGCTGCCGCTATGGCGGAGGTGGAATCACGCTTCCTGCACCTCCTGCAGCCCATCCGCGACCTCACCAAGAACTGGGAGGTGGATGTGGCTGCCCAGCTCGGGGAGTACCTGGAGGAGGTAAGGGGGGGCCCTGCGTCCCCTGTGCTGGGTTGGGGAGGTCAAGAGTGATGCCCTTCAGCCCTGCCTGCGTGGGTGTCGTGGTTTCAGCTGGGATAGAGTTAATTGTCTTCCTAGTAGCTGGTACAGTGCTGTGTTTTGAGTTCAGTATTAGAAGAATGTTGATAACACACTGATGTTTTCAGTTGTTGCTAAGTAATATTTAGCCTAAATTCAAAGATTTTTCAGCTTCTCACACCCAGCCAGCGAGAAGGCTGGAGGGACACAAGAAGTTGGGAGGGGACACAGCCAGGACAGCTGACACAAACTGGCCAAAGGGGCATTCCATACCATGTGATGTCATGCCCAGTATATTAACTGGGGGGAGTGGGGGCGGGGGGATTGCCGCTCAGGGACTAACTGGGCGTCGATGTGCAGGTGGTGAGCAATTGTACCATGCATCATTTGTATCTTCCAATCCTTTTATTATTACTGTTATCATTTTATTAGTGTTATCGTTATCATTATTAGTTTCTTCTGTTCTACTAAACCGTTCTTATCTCAACCCATGAGTTTTACTTCTTTTCCCCGATTTTCTCCCCCATCCCCCTGGGTGGTGGGCAGTGAGTGAGTGGCTGCATGGTGCTTAGTTGCTGGCTGGGGTTAAACCACGACAGCGGGCAGGCCTTCTGTCTGCACCCCCGCAGCCGCCCTGGTGTGCTGCTGGCATGCTTGACTCTTCCTTCTCCCTGTGCTACCCCCAAATCTAGCCTTTGAATCTGCGTTTCATTTTCCTTCTTTTGCGTATTTCGCAGCTGGATCAAATCTGCATTTCCTTTGACAATGGCAAAACCACCATGAACTTCATAGAAGCAGCCCTGCTGATCCAGGGCTCTGCCTGCGTCTACAGTAGGAAGGTGAGGAGGCTGGCAGTGACTGCCACGTCGTGGCCCTGGTCCTGTTGCCCTGCCTGTTCTGCGATCCCTCAGCCGGTGGTCCTGAGGCCGAGCTCCACGGGGGCTGCTCTGGGAATTTGAAAGACTTGAATGTAATAATGACTAATGGAAATGAAAGGATACAAATTTATAATTCCTAAACTCAACCCCTTTATACACATTGGCGTCAGCAGCCTGGAAAAGAGCAAGAATTTTGCTGTTCAGCACTTTCTTCTCTAGACAGTGGAATACAAAAACCCTGCTTCCCCAAATCTGGCCTCAGAATGGCTTCAACAGTGAAAAGAATAACAAGGTTATCAAGAAATTAAACTCCAGCTGCCTGGGGACGAGGGGAGGGTGGTGGTTCATCCTGGCATCAGCTGGAGTAACTTTTCTGGGAGCTGCTTTCTCCTTCTCCAAGAGTCTGGTTGCTATTTTGCAGGTGGAGTATCTCTACTTGCTGGTCTACCAGATGCTCGACTTCATCTCCAATAAAAAGTAAGTAGAGCTCCCCCCACCCCCGGGGAGGCAGCTTTTCCAGGGGCTCAGGGCTGCTCCCCTCCAGCGCGCCATTGCTGCCTTGGCAGAAAATGCTGCCACGTGCTCCTGCCTCACTGCTCTTTCCCTCTGCATCATGTTAAGGCCTAAGCTCTTCCCCGCTTTCTTTCTTGCCGAAGTTCGGTAGTGCTTGCCCCGAGAACGTATGAGCTGTGCGTCCTCTTGGGGATGAAACTGTGCCCCCACCTGCAGAGAGAGCCTGTGGGAAGGTTCGTGACCCCCACTCCCGCTCTGAGCCTTGCTTCTACTGCTACTGACCACTCTGCCACTAGGCAATCATCGCTTTAAAAAACCAAACAAATCTATTGCCGCATCAGTCTCCAGCCCCGTAAAAAGTTCTTTGAAGCAGAAGGATTGTTGTGGTTGCAGAAAAGTTCCCTGGTGGGACTTGCTTCAGCCCAGAGGGCCTGGGGCGATGCTCATCCCCATGCGCTCTTCCAGTGGCATCATCCTGTGGTTTTCTTGCTGCAGCGCTTTGCTGTTGTGTAAGGAGAGGGCAGCGCCCAGCGTCCCACAGAGTAAATCTTAGCAGAGAATAAACTGTCTCATGTGGCAAAGCAGCTTGGGATTTATTCTTCCCCTTATTGCTGAAAGTGGGGCTCTGCCGCTGCAGCTCTCCAAGCTGCCTTGCGTAACTTGCCTGTTGTCAGCCTGGCGCCAGCTCTGAACACACTCTCCACTGAGGAGAGGTCAGCTAACAGCACCCTTCTGTCTGTGCTCAGACTGGGCATTTGGGGAAAGACGAGGGTTTTGTGCCACACCTCGCTCCGAACAACTGCTTGGCTCCAACCATGCAAATGAGCTTCCTGAAGGAACCTCCCTGCCCAGTCGTGAGCCCTGCTTGTAAGGAAATATTGCCAGTTGTCTGGGGAGGCTGACGCAGAGGACATGAAAGTGGCTCTGCTTGGGCTGGAGCAAGGCGAAGCCGTTGTGGAGGTTTCTGAAAGTCTCCGACAATTATTTCTGTGCTGTGGCATTGAAGTGAAATGTTCCCTTCTGTTTCTGTAACAGAGCTTCTGAGCTGGAATTGGCAGGATGTTTTTGTTCCAGATGGGATTTGTCGGGCAGGCTGGATCCCCTCTTCCCACAAGCCCCAATTCCTTTGCAGCCCCCCACTGCCCTCCTGGGCAGGCGCAGAGGAGCACTAAGAGCGTGTTAGCTCGAGTGTGCTGATGGCACAGCTCTCTGGCGGTGCCGGTGGTCGCACCGTCACCTCTCCGTGCTGTCCATAGTGCTGTGGGATGCTCCTCCTTAGAGCGGCTGCAGTGGCGTTGGAGGGAACCTGCTGCCACTTCGCCTCCAGCCCTTCCCTGCTGCCCCGGGCAGATCCTGACCATGTGTTTTGCTCCCTGACTCAGGCGGGAAAAACAGCCCTGCTCCTTGGGGAAGGACGGCAAAGACACCGATGCGAGCTTTGGGGCTGACAAGGAGGAGGTGAGAGGGGTGTCTGTGCCCCGTTGTGGCATGGGGAGCGGAGTGCTTGGTGGCTTGTGTGCGCAGGCAGAGCTGGTTTCAGCTGCTGGGCTGCAAGGGTACGAGGGGCCGCAGGCAGCGGGGGATGCCCCCAGTGCTCCCCCCTTTCTGACTAGCGCTGTGGCTGCCGTCTCCTGTGTATGCTTTCCTGCTGTTCCCTAGTAGGGGGGTGTTTAGCCCCACATCTACCCCTGGGCATGGTGGGAGGACTCGGTGAGCTTTTTGTCAGGACACTGCTGGCCTCCACAGGACATCAACTGCTACCTCGCAGCCCTCCTGGAGAAGAGCTAGCCCCTGTGCAGTGCGTGGGGACCTCCCCCCACCCACCCCGGGCTTAGCCTTCCTTCCCTTAATCCTTAACTTGGGCTATCTCTCGGGACTCTGTCCCCCAGGAGAGCAGCGGCTGCCTGGGCTGGACCTTTCCCGTGGGAGCGGGCACCTTCATTCCTTCCTTGCTTTCCTCCTGCCTGGTGGGTGCTGCCCTCGCAGTGCTGCACACCACAGCCCTGCTCCTGCCCTGCTACAGCAGCTCAAAAGCTGCAGCTCCATCGTCTCTGCCACTGGGTCTGTCCCGCCTGCGTGGTGCAGCCGTGGGAGGGTTAGGGTCCCTCAGTGGTGGTGCAGCCTGGCAGGCTGAGCCAGGGTGACCGCTGGTGGGACTCCCTCAGCAGTTTCTCTCCCTGGACGACATTGGGGACAGCAGCCATGTGAGCGTGGACATGAAGAAGGATCATCAGCCCAAAGTAAGAGAAGCCACTCCTCCTTTTCTGTCCCTCCCTGCGTCAGGGTTTTCCCAGATGAATCCCACGGGTGCCCAGGGCCAGCTGCTGTCCCAGCCAGGCTCTGTGGGGACGGTGGCACCCAGGCAGCGCTGTGCCATGCTGGGTGCCTTCCCCGGTCTCCATCCCACCCTGCTTGCCTTCGCAGACTGTGAATGTCATTCCCTTGACTCCGATGTCTTTGGTCCCCCCAGAAGAGGCTGACAAGAGGGACAACCCTCTGTTCAGGTGAAAGCCCCCTTGCCATGCCCCTCAGCCGCTTCCCATGGGTTTACTTGGTGTCGCCCCCTGGTCCCGTTGTTGTAGTAGGATTGGGCTTTCCCTGTGCCTTAGCCAAGGAAGCAGTGCTTTCCCAGTTAAAAGTGGATGGCAGGCAGGATAATCCCACAGGCCCTGGACAGCTGGGAGGTGTGGAGCCCTCTGGTGAGGGCAGGGCAGGAGCGTCCCCAGGGGAGGGACAAGCCGGGGCTACGCTGGGAAATTCGAGTGAGACTGCTGGGCCAGAGAAGCTGAGAACGGCCAGCGGGAGGGCTGGGGCTGATGATTCCCCCCTGCATTCCCTGGAGCAGGGGGGCTTTGGCTTTGGGGATGCTCCAGTGGGGCTCCCCCCAAGGCAGGCCAGTGCCCCTCTCCCTAGGCTCCCAGTGGGACAGGGCAGAGCCTGGTCTCGGGGGTCCCCTGATGGGTTTTTGCTTTCAGCCGGAAAGGGGAGATCCTCGCCAGCCGGAAGGATTTCCGGATGAACATGAGCACCCCTCACACCACCGGAGCCTTCCTGCTGGAGCCGGCAGGCCTCTCCCCCATCTGCCCACAGGAGCAGCAGCTTGAAGTGAGCCCCGGCAGAGTGGCAGGTACAGGGGACTTGGGGCACGGATCTCTGCAGACCTGCTGGCCGGGAGGCAACACTGTGGGTGGGAAGCACCCCGGGGTGCTTTGCTGGCCGCCTGCCTCCAGCAAAATGGCCTCCCAGAAGAGCAGGGCCCCTCGTTGCTGGAGGTGATCAGGTGCTGGGCAAGGGTAGGGTGCTGACGCCAGCAGCTGCCCCCTGCCCTCTCCCTGGCTGCAGCAGGGAGCCTGCCCATGGCTGTCAGCCTCGCTGGGGCTGGTGGGAAGGAGCAGCATCGAGGCTGCTCTCCGTCAGTGCCGGTGGCTGGGGCTCCTGCAGGCAGGGGCAGTGTGGGAGCCCACCTGCCAGGGGGCTGCTGGTGACCTCTCACCTCTGTCACCTCGGCAGGAGCACCGTCCTGCGTCCTCGGCAGCAGGAGGGATTGTGTCAGCACTGGCAGGGCTCCCGTCCAGGCGCTGAGCTTTTCCACAGACAGAGGTGAGATGTGCGTGGTCGGCGGGCTGAGTGGAGGTCTGGCCATTTGTCCTTCCTGCCTGTGTGTCTGGCCGGGCTGGGCAGGGCTGTGTGTGTTCAGGCAGCTGCCGCCGCGTGGGATGCTCCTGCCCTCTTGTATCAAGGCAGTCTGGTCCTCTCAGCAGCTTCAGCTGGCCACTTGGCCATGACAAGCGAGGCTCCCTGGAGGAGCTCCACAGCAGATGGGGTGGAAATGGGAGAGCCCAGAGGCTTTTATGGTGTTTGACCGTTTAGTCCCCCCACCAGGTGCCACAGGACCAGACGATGCTGACAGCAGAGATGACGACATGCCCGGGGCCCTGGAGGATGATGTGGAAATGACTCTGGCTCCTAACGAACACATTGAGGTGCAGAGGGTGGGTGTGGGCAGGGGCTCAGGGCAGTGCTGCCGCCTCACTCCTTCCCCGGAGCCCCGCACTTCACTACCTGGCGCTGTGGGAATCTCACCAGCTCATTCTGTGTCTACCAGAGCGTGCCCCGGACGAAGGGGTATGTGCTGCGGGAGCGAGCCCCTGCCGAGGACCCCAAAGCCCGCCTCAAGGTAGGGGGGCCCAGAGCTGGGGAGTCTCTCTCTGTCCACATGGGACACTGTGGGAAGCCCTGGGACATCCCTGCCCTCTCTGCCATGCTGGTGCCAATGGTGGGGTGACCTGCTGGAGCCAGGTGGCTCCCGTGTGCCCACCCCAGGGTGCCACAGGGAGCTTTGCCAGCTTCATCTCTGCTCACTCCTCTGCCAGGAGATGCTGGATCCGTGGCAAAGCCTCGACCCCTTCGGTGACTCCGAGGACAAGCCGTTTAAGAAAGGTATTTGAGGTGGAGCTGGGGAAGAGGGACTGCTCCCTGCGTTTCGGTTTGCCCTGGACGGGCCAGGGCCCAGCTGTGCAGGGGCAGCAAGGCTCCGTTTCCCAGCCACTTGTCCTCCAGCATCCCCAGAGCCATGGCGGGTCTTTCCCAGCTCCATGATGGGCAGAGGGGCCTGGGAGAGGGGCAGCTGCCCTGTGCCGGACCCTCGGGGTGGCTGGGCTACACTTGGAGCAGCAGCACGGGACTCTCCTTGCGGCACACAGTGCCGCTTGCGCAGGGCTGCTGATCTCTGCCTGCCTCCAGGGAGACCCTTCCTGGTGCCACATGGCCTGGACGATGTCGTTGGTGGCAAGCGGAAGAGGAAGGGACCGAGGAAGCTCCAGGACTTCATGGAATGGTTCTCTGCAGCCTGTGAGTATCGTGGCCATCGTGTTTCCCGCAGGATCCCACCGTGATCCAGCCAGGCTCACAGCAGGACCCTTCTCTGCCAGGAATCGCCTTGCCCAAACCCCTCTGCCATGGGTGCTCCGGTCCTGGCTGGCCCCGTTCAGCAGCAGCTTCAGTCCTGTAGCAGCCTCTGTCTGTGCTCCGGTCTTGCTCTTGCTGGAGCTGCCCAAGCAACTCCATCCCATTTACTGAGTGGGATGCAAATCGCCTTTGTTGGCCCAGGATCTCCTCACCTGGGTTTGTACCTTAACCAAGGCACCGAGGAGAAAGGGACAAATGATCTGAGAAGGAAGCAGCTGGCCAGAGCTCTGACCTCAGCAGGGTGTTAAACAGGACGCGTTTACAGGAGGCGCAGAGAGTCAAATAATAGCAGCCTAACTATAAACGTGGGTGGGTTGTACTGCGAGGGGAGGAGGAGAGGTCAGAGCAGGAGTCCCCCGCACTCCCGTACTGCTGAGGCGGCCCCCGCTGTGCCCCTTGCCCCCTCTCCTAAGGTGGGGCTGCACTTTCCGTGGCCGGAGCAGGCTGCGTTAGACTGCGGGAACTGGAGCTGCTGGTGGCTGTCCCAGGGATGGCTGGGACGCCTTTGCGGGGAAAGGAGGTGGCTCTGGAGGTGACAACTGGCTTGTTGCACACTGCGACGGCAGTGGAAGCGGTCGGTGGTGCTGTCACTGGAGGGCTGCCTGCTGCTGCTAGCCCCCCTTGCACGCCCATTCTCCCTGCTGGCTTCCCCGGGAGTGTTGACGGAGTTGGCATCTGTGATGGTTTGTAACTTTAATCCTTTCTGGTTCTCCCAGATAACAACGTCACTGACAGCAGGAAAACCAGGAGGAAAGGGCCGACATTTGCAGGTGAGCGGGACGCAGTGGGGCCTGTTAGTAAGGTGCCATTCTGCTCCCAGCCCGTGGCTCTGAGCACAGGCAAAGGCGCAGCCATGCCCTGTACTGCAGCCGTGCCCTGTGCCCTATAGCCTCCCTGGGTGGGCTTTGGGCTGGAAAGCAGCGGGATGCCTCACTGAGGAGCCGAGACTGGGGCAAACACCCAGGAGGGAGCAGAGCCAGAGCCGCGGTGGCAGGGCTGTGCCAGGGGAGCTTGCTGCAGAGGGCACAGGCGGCACTGGGAAAGCCCCACTGTTGGGGCTGGAGGAGGGTGTTCTAGCTTAGGAATGACAGGCAATTTCTAGGTTTTGCAGCTCTTCCCCTTTCAAAAGGCAGACCTGCAAACCAGCTGAACCAAATCTGGCCTCCGCTGGCTGCAGAGCCCCTCATGTGCCAGGCGGGCCGGGGGGGGAAGGGCAGGCATCACACCTGCCTGCGGCCCCAAAACTGTGTGAGGGGAGCCTGGGCAGGCACCCCGACAGCTGCGGTGTGCCAGGGTGGGGGGCTTTGCTGGGAGGTGCGGGCTGAGTCCCCCCCTGGGGTGCAGAGGAGCTCCCCAGGGCTGTGCGCCCTGTCTCTGTGCAGATCTGGAGGTGCTGTACTGGAAGGAGCAGAAGTTGCGGATGGCGGCACAGAGGAAGCTGCAGAGCCGGGCGGTGAGTGGGCACAGCACCGGGCAGGGCTGGGGGGAGCTGGGCTCGCCGGGAGCTCTGCCTGCCCTCACGGGGGGGGGGGACACCTAGGGCAGGGGGGGCTCCTGGCCTGGTGCCTTGCACCCCTCCTGCGTGCTCCGGTGGGCCACGGGGTCCCTTGTGGGGGGGCTCATGGCTGTTATCTACCAGGAGCTGCTGTGTCCACTGCCGCGTGAGGAGGAGCCAGCTCTGCTGGAGGAGGAACGCGGGGCTGACTGCGACGAAGGAGCAGGTACTTCAGCACCCCAGACCCTCCCTCCCCAGCCAGGGGTCCCATCCTGCCCCCTCCTGCCGTGCTGGCAGCCCTTATCGAGACAAAGCCAGGCCTGGGGTGGGCAGGGGGCTGGTGGGTGCTGGGGGGGGGCGGCACTGAGCGCATCTCCCCTCCTGGCAGGTGACTTCATGGAGTACGAGGACATCCAGGCTGAGGGTTTGGAGGAGCTGGGGGAAGGAGCCCTGGGTGAGTGCTGGTGGGGGTCCGGCAAGCGCGCGCCCCTTGGCACAAGCCCCGCAGCCTCCGTGCTGCAGCGGGGGGGGCTGCGGCTGTGCCCCATCCTTTCTGGGGAGTGTCCCTCATCCCTGCTCGGTGGGAGGGGGTGGCTGCATAGTGTTGCTGCTGGTGACACTCTGCCCTCCCACAGGCCCCCCCGACCTGGGCTCGCTGGGCTACGAGGAGCTGGTGCGCAGGAACGTGGTAGGTGCCTATAGGCAGGGGCGTGGTGTGGGGACGGGGCAGGGATGCTGCGAGGTGGGGGAAGGCGATGGGAAGGTTCGGGTGCCCCTGCTCCCCTCTCCCCGCAGGAGCTGTTCATCGCCAACTCCCAGAAGTACGCACAGGAGACGGAGCTGTCCCAGCACATCCGCTGCTGGGAGGAGAGGATTGGGCCGCTGCTGCAGGAACAGGCAGGGACCCATGCGGGCAGGGGGCTGGGGTGGGCAGGGGCCTGGCAGCCCCCTCCCAGCGCCTGAGCCCGCTCTGCCTGCAGGAGGAGCGAGCCACCTTTGACATCCACGGCTACGGGGACACGCTAGCGAGCAGCTGCAGGCGCCTGGGCGAGTGGCGGTCCTTCGCCAGCCTGGTGGCGGGGGAGCCCCCCTTCGAAGTGTGCCGCTACATGCTGGCCACCCTCCAGCTGGTAAGTGTGTGGGGAGCAGAAAGCAGGGGGCTCTGCGGAGCCCACCCGCCGCTCCCTTTCTCCTTCCGTCCCTCTCCCCCCCCCAGGCTAACGACTCCGTGGTGGAGCTGGCGCAGGACCCGGGACTGGAGCAGGCGCTGGACACGGCACGCCTGCGGCTCCTCACCCACCAGCGGCCGCAGGAGCGCTTCCACGCCTTCCAGCCCCCCTCCGCCTGCCCCTGAGTGAGCACCCCTCCTCTCCGCATACCCCTCACCACCCCCCCTCCCCCGCCCCAACTCTTGGTAATAAAACCCTACTTTGGTAAAGGCTCTGCTGTGGTGGGGGTCCCCAGGGCAGGAAAAGCTCCTTCCCTTGGGGCTGGCACCAATCTCTCCTCTTGGGGCCGGGTCTGAGGGACGACAGGGGTGTTCCCCTCTCTCCTCGCCCACCAGGAGCCGCGGGAGGCATTTTGGGGGCGCAGGCGTATTTATTTTCCTCAGTCGAGGAGGGGCTCGTAAGTCTCCATGTGCCGGCGGACGCTCTGGGCAATCTGGGTGTCCGTCTTGCTGCGTCCATAGTAGTCGAGGAAGAGCCCGTCAGGGCCCAGCAGGTAGATGAGGACAGTGTGGTCCACGATGTAGTCGCCATCCTCGTCCTTGGGGCCGGTGCTGGCGTAGACGCGGTAGGCGTCGGCAGCCGCCCGCACCTCCTCGGGGCTGCCGGTCAACCCCAGGAGCCGGGGGTGAAAATCCTGGACGTAACGCTTCATGGCTGCCACATCGTCGCGCTGGGGGTCAACGGTGATGAAGAGGGGCTGGAGGGGAGGAAGGCCCGGCTCCCGCTCCAGCAGCTCCACGGCCCGGCTCAGCTTCTCCAGCTCCTCGGGGCAGATGTCAGGGCAGTGGGTGAAGCCAAAGTAGAGCAGCACCCACTGCCCGCGGAAGTCGGCCTTCTGCCGTGGACGACCCTCCTGGTCCAGCAGCCGGAAGTCACCCTGGCCCAGCGCCAACGCCCGCAGCTCCGCCTGCCGCCGCGCCCGCTGCCG